GTTCAAAAACAGCCATGGTAGAAGAAGGTGGCCACCAGAAGGAGAGAGAGAGAGAGAGAGAGAGAGAGAGAGAGAGAGAGAGAGAGAGAGAGAGATATGACCAAAAAACAGAGCTAAGACTAAAGAAGAAGAAAAGGCTATGAGGAGCCAGAGAAGGGGATCTAAAATCTCTGGTTACCGTAAGAGTTAAAAACAAACAAACAAACAAACAAACAAACAAACAAACAACCACGATCAAGTCTCCTGGGCCAAGGGTCTCAGAACCCAGTGGACTGGCCACTGCCAAGGGTGGGTGATTAATCCCAATAAAGGTCCCAAGACTCTAGCCCCACGTAAGGCCGAGAGCACTGGAGGACACTACTTGCCATTGTTTCTGCCTAGCGGCTGTTGCTGACTGCAGGTGCTACCAACCAGAGCAAAGAGCAGAAATTGCTAGAGACCAGCATTTGAAGAGCTCCTCCTTGCCTATCCATAATTTTGATCTGGAAGAGCGAAAGAGTCCTTGACCATCTGAACTGTGACAGTACCATCCTTTGTATTCTCTTTTTGAATTCTATACGTTACCTTCCAATAAACAGAATCATCGTAGCAGTCCTCATCAGGGGGCTGATCACAGCTACATAACTTCATAAGTAGACCTGTGAGGGCAGAGGGAACACAAATACTGATAAGGGCAGGCTACTTCCTTACTAAATATTAAAACGCTGCTATGAAAATATCTCCTTTAGCTAACATAGCTCATTGCCAGAACCTTAGCCCAGTTTGGGATGTGGCCAATGAACTGTGTCTTAATCATCTCTCCGAGAAGTAAATGAGTGACCAGGCATTGGTAAGAGTTTACATGGCTATTATCCCTAGTTTTTCGAGATCATTTTACAATGATCTGGAAGTCTTAATCTTTCCGTGTTAATCTCCTAAGTAGCCATGGGTAAAAGCATGTACCGAGAAACCCAGCTCAATGTTCACTTTTGAAGCAGACCTGTAACCAAGCCTCCAACAACTGCTGAGCCAACGGAGGAACCCAGTGCTGCCGCCTGCATAGCCACCACAGACCTAGGGAAAGCAAATATGTAGCGTCAGTTATGCCTCTTTTCTTTCCCTTTTAAAAACACTCGGTCATTCATTCGTTATGGTTAATAAAGTATTCTTCAGAAAGCGTAGGACTTTCAAAAAATTGATCCTTGATTTGATTCACTCACTAAATATCTATTGAATATCAGTTCCTGAACCTCTCAACCTCTCTTCCACACAGGCTAGGGGGGATAATGTCTAAAACAACATGGCTACCATTTCCTCACCACTTTAAATAAAACATTGTAGTGAAATTAGGTTCATCAATAACATCAGAAAAACTAAGTGTGGCCTATGTGTTAGGGAGAAGGCAATGAGGACATTGGAGAATACACTTGTAATGCCAGAGGCAGTCACTTTGAAATAAAGATAATAAAATATCACTGGTTTGGGGAGAAGTCTCAGTGAGTAAGGAAGCTTGCTGCCAAGCCCTATGACCTGAGCTGGATCCCTGGCTCCACATGGAGGAAGGGAAGAATCGATTCCTGCAAGCTGTATTCTGACTTTCACATGCATACTATGACATGTGTGTGTTCACCTGCACACACACACACACACACACACACACACACACACACACACACACAGTAAATAAATAAATGTAAAACTTTAGAGAGGACATTATAAGTTGGGGGTAGAAGCAAGTGATAAATGGCTTTGAAATGTGTAAGGCTGCTAACTAAACGGCAGCTGAACTTTGTATGTAGTTGTATCATTAGCACAGTGCTTCTCTCAGAGAAGGCAGGCAATGGAGTTTATGAAAGATTAAGGGAGCAAGTCTGTGAAAGGAGGCAACTGGAAAAGATTCATTAATGGTATTCTCTCATTTATGTCTTTTGGAGCCTGTAATGTTAACAACAACAACAACAACAACAACAACAACAACAGCAGAGTCCCACCCTCATCACTGTGTATTTTCACCAACGCAATTACAAAGCACAGGACCAGAGGCAAGAAACACCCTTTGGTTTTTACTCACAAATTAGACTTTTCCCAGTATACGACCCCAATGCTGACAAGGCCTCCCAACACACCAGGTAAGCCGTGCAGGTTATGGACTCCACATGTATCTCTGATCATCAGTTTATTAGCTAACAGTGGCTGAGGTTGTAAAAGAGAGAAAGGTCATTATCTTGTAAGGCACACAGAGGTCCACACTGAAGCAAAGAGCTGTGTAGAAGAATATATTCATAAATCCTTATCATGTACATATAAAACACAGTGTGGTATTACACATTACAAATACATGATTAAGATGTTGCTATAGTGAGCCAAATTATTGGCTCCATCATGTCCACATTTACTCTATATTCATTCGTTAGCATGAATTCAAAACACAGTGTATTAAAAACCTACAGTCCACATACATATTAAACTTCAAAGTTTTTTCCCCCTATAGGTCTGCTCTCTGCTGCCCTGAATTCTTCTACCTCATCTCTCCATTTGCGCCTCTACTCAGAAGAGGCAATTTTATCTAAGGCTCAGTTTTCCTTTGATGTCAAAATGCACCCATGTCAAACACTTTAAATACATTTGTGATAAAACAGTCATTAGTGGCTGGATTGGGAGGAAGTGACTTCACCTTCTCACCTTCTAATAAAATCTCAGATGCCCTCATTAGAATACAAAGTCCACAAATAAACAAACAACAAAAATAAAATATTCTCGGGAACTTCTCAAAAGGAATTAACATAACCCATGCTAAATTACTAATAATGAGTACCAGATTCTCCCCTGCCACACAGACATCAGGAAAGAGGAGAGTCAGTGAATGGCTGCAATGTGAGTGGTATTTCTGAAAGGAAGACAAATGGCCTCCAGTGAAAGGTATATAGGGAAGGAAACGCCACTGATCCCACATGAGAAGACAGTGAGTGATACAGATGTAGGCGTTGCTTCACTGCATCTATCATACATACACTAAGGAACTTGTATCCAAGCACCGAGATGATGCCTGCAACGCTTCCAATGGTCATAGCAGCGTAGGGGGGGATTTTCATGTCCGCACATGTGCCCACAGCGACACCTCCTGCCAGAGTGGCGTTCTGAACATGAACCTGAGTGGAGGCAGAACCATGAGTCAGGAGTGGGGAATGAGGCAATGTCAAAAAGTCAGGAGGGAGGCAGAGTCCAGTGGACCTGCGTTAGCCATTAGTGGAAAGACGTGCTTGTACACACACACACACACACACACACACACACACACAC